GGAAGATATATTCAAAGTCTCATTAGTGAAGCACAACAAGAACTCACTCAAACCTTATTTCGATTAAGGTACTCTACTTTGGATTTCAATATAAATAYTCAACTTGCAGAGCTGTTTTACCCTTTTAAAACTCAAAATCACCAATTCAGATCTAAAGACAATTTGTATCCCTTTCTCTTACCTTTCTAAGGCCTATTTATTCCTAGTTTCGAATTTTCTATGATTTTCCAAAAACAKGGCTGTAATCATCMTATCAAATGCTCAAAACACCCATTTTCCTCCAAAAGATTACCAATACTAGCCCAATAAGTTCCAAATTCATAGTTTCACTTATTTTTACCAAATTCCACAATAAATCAATGATAAACCATGATTATAACATCAATTTCTACTAATTTTATTGTATCTCAAATTAACTCCTAAAAGTCAACACTTGTTCTTGAGCTAACATCACAATTTCAAGAAATCTTATAATCCATCCTTGGATTTCACATACTAACTAATAATAACACTTAGTCCTAACATAAATTCATCTGTAAATCATCACATGCACTGACTCAAACTCTATGCATGTCATCAAATAAGGATAAATATGAGTTTTACCTTTGATTTCTCTATAAATCCTTCAATAATCTTGATAAAACATTTGATTTAGGGATAGATTAACTCCCAAGTGTGTGTAATCGCACCTTAGAACACCAAGACTAATTTTGAGAGAAAACGGGGTTAAAAATTGGCTGATTTGATGATTTGCGACTTAAATCCCGAGTTGGGTCGGGTTGACTCGGATGGGTACCCGTTTTGACCCCTAAACACTAAAAAAAATATGCATAACTTTTTGCTCGGGACTCCGTTTTCGATGAGGTTTTCGCCTATGCGTCCTAAACGAGATAATCTACAAGCTCCAATAAAAAGATTACATTGTTTGAACCCAATGCTCAAAACCATACCCGAAAAATCGATATTTTCAACACATAATTAAGCGTATTAGGAAGATGGATGTTACAAATACCTCCTCCTTTTGAGGATTTCGTCCTCGAAATCAAGGTCTCTCAAATACCTCCAGATACTTAGCCGTCATTTCATCTTTGTTCTCCCACGTCCAATTCGGACCACGGTGATGCTTCCATTTAACAAGGACCAAATCTACGATCTTGTTTCGTAGATTAACGGTTTTCATTAAGAATGGCCTCGGGTTCTTCTATGTACCTCAATCTTTTATCCAACTTGACCTCGGCCAAAGGAATGGTCTCCTCATGCTTACCCAAGCACTTCCTTAGATAGCTAACGTGGAAAACGTCATGAATACAGGAGAGTTCTTCTGGCAACTCCAAACGATAGGCTTGTTTTCCGATACATTCAAGGATTTTAAAGGGTCCAACGAATCGTGACTTAACTTCCCTTTCTTACCAAACCGTAAAATTCCCTTCCAAGGTGATACTTTCAGCATCACCATATCTCCCACTTCAAACTGAATCGGTCGTCGTCGTTTGTCGGCATAAGATTTTTTTCGATCTTGGGCTGCTTTCATTCTTTCACGTATAACTCGTATCTTATCATGTGTGACTTGAATCAACTCTGGTCCGGCCAACACTTTATCTCCGGTTTCTTGCCAACAGAGAGGCATACGGCACTTACGTCCGTACAAAGCCTCAAAAGGAGTCATGCCGATCGTGGAGTGATAACTGTTGTTATACGAGAACTCTATAAGTGGCAAGTAGTAATCCCAGCTTCCACCAAACTCCAAGATACAAGCTCGTAACATATCCTCCATTGTTTGAATCGTGCACTCTGACTGTCCATCGGTTTGGAGGTGATACGCAGTACTAAGAGCAACACGAGTCCCTAGTTCTCTTTGCATACTAGTCCAAAAATTTGAGGTAAATCGAGAATCACGATCAGAAACTACCTTTAACGTTATACCATGACGGGAAATTATCTCATCAATGTATACTTGTGCCCAACGATCCATAGAATAATCTTCCCGAACCGCGAGAAAATGAGCACTTTTTGTTTACCGGTCCACAATCACCCAAACACTATCATGTTGACGAGGAGTCTTCGGTAACTTCGTTACGAGGTCCATGGTCAACTCTTCCCATTTCCAGACGGGCACCTCCAAAGGTTGTAAACTACCGTAAGGTTTTTGGTGCTCAGCCTTCACTTGCAAACACGTAACATATCTCTCAACATAATGGCCAATATCTACTTTCATGCCCGGCCACCAAAACTCGGTACGCAAATCATGATAAATTTTTGTACTGCCGGGATGACGGACATTCTAGATTTGTAAGCTTCTGCAAGAATAGTCTTTCGCACACCACCAAGTTTTGGCACCCAGATTCGGGATCTAAACACTTTCACGCCACGATTATCTTCCGAGAGAGAATCTACTCATCCAACTATCCGTTCAGACTTCACATGTTCAGGTTTTAAAGCCTCAGCTTGCCATCTTTGCAGGTCGTCAATAAGCGTAGACTGTATAGATGTGTGAGTGATTGTGTAACACATATAAGAGACATACGCTTTTAGACTGAAAGCATCCGCCACCACGTTGGCTTTACCAGGATGATAGAGTATTTCACAGTCGTAGTCTTTTATTAACTGCATGGCCCTTTGCTATCTCATATTCTAAGTCTGTTGATCGAAAATGTACTTCAGACTCTTGTGATCCATGAATAATTGACATTTCGTCCCACAAAGATAATGACGCCATAATTTCAAAG